CAGAAGCAGAATAAACGTCGTGATAGATTCCAGAAGTCAGAAGCCTCAACTTCTGATGATAAGAAATATCATAAAGGAAAGGAGAGGTATGACAAAATGAAGGTTCAATGTTACTCTTGTAAACAATTTGGCCATTTTGCCAGAGATTATAGGTCAAACAAGGAAAGGAAATCCGAAGAAGCATATATGGCTAAGAAAAACTCTGACGATGAACCTGTACTACTAATGGCTTCTGATTCTGATGGAAAATGCTCAAAAGATTGGTGGTATATGGACACTGGTTGTTCAAATCATTTAACTGGAAATAAACAATGGCTGACAGACTTTGACTCTAGAAGGAGAACAAAGATCAGATGTGCTGATGATAAGTATCTTAATGCAGAAGGTATGGGAGATGTCAGAGTTAGAGTGAAGAATGGGAAAGACATTCTGATCAAAGACGTTTGGTATGTTCCTGGTATTAGAAGCAATCTGATGAGCGTAGGTCAGCTGATTGAGAAAGGTTTCTTAGTTGTTATGAAAAACAATCTTCTGACGTTGTATGATTCCAATCAGAAGTTGATTATGAAGTATGAACAAGGAGGAAACAGAACATTCAAGGTAAATGTAGAAACAACTGAAGCAACGTGTCTTAGTGTAGAAGGCGCTGAAGGTAACAGTAAGATATGGCATAAGAGGTTGGGGCATTTGAACTATAGAAGCTTAGGGCATCTATGTTCTAAGAAGCTTGTATATAGTATTTTGAAGATTGTGAAGCCTGAGAAGTCATGTGAGATATGCATGAAAGGCAAGCAACCTAGATTGCCATTTACATCAGAAGTAGCCCCTATAGCGAAGCATGCTCTAGAAGTAGTACATTCTAAATGTGTGGACCATTTCCAGTACCTTCACTTGGAGGAAACAATTATTTTGTGTCTTTTATGGATGAGTTCACAAGAATGACATGGGTAACACTCATCAGGTTCAAGCATTAAGTGTTTACTGAGTTCCAGAAATTCAAAGTGAAGGCTGAAAAGCAGAGTGGTCAGAAGTTAAAAATTCTGAGAATGGATGGTGGAGGTGAGTATAACTCTACAGTGTTTCAGAAGTTCTCTGAGGAGAGTGGAATAGAACATGAGGTTACTGCTCCATATACTCCTCAGCACAATGGTCTTGCTGAAAGAAGAAACAGAACTTTGCTTGATATGACCAGAAGCATGCTAAAAGAAAAAAATCTACCTCACGTGTTATGGGGAGAAGTTGTTGCCACATCAGCATATATTCTGAACAGGTGTCCAACGAAGAAACTGAAGGAAGTTGTTCCTTTAGAGAAATGGATTGGAGATAAGCAAAGTGTCAGTCATCTGAAGGTGTTTGGCTATGTCTGTTACAAACACGTTCCAGAAGCTAGAAGACAAAATCTGGATGATAGAAGCAAAGTAATGTTGCTAGTGGGGTACCACAGTACAGGTGTGTATAAGCTTTATTGTCTAGAAACTAATAAAGTTGAAGTCAGCAGAGACGTTGTGGTGAAAGAGTCTGAAGTATGGGACTGGAATAAATCTCAATCAGATTCTGGTGTAGTGCCAACACCAGAGTTAGCCTCTGAAGATGTTTTAGAAAGTTCAGAAGATGAATCTGATTCTGAAGATCCTGAAGATTCTGAAGATGAGTCAGAAGAAGATTTTGGCAATGGATCTGATTCTGATCCAGATGCTGATGATGATCTAGAATCTGGTGGTGATCATATTTCTGGAAGGGAAAACTCTGAAGGTGGTAACTATGAAAGTAGTAGTTCTGATGCAGCTTCAGAACAAGCTCAAAGACCATAAAGAATCAGACAAAAACCAAGAAGGTTTGCAGACTTTGACATGTTGCAGGATAATGAAGTTGACTCTGAAGGAGAATTCGTTCAGTGTGCCATGTTAGTAGATTCTGAACCAGTGGGCATTGAAGAAGCTCTCAAGAAGAAAGAATGGCTTAATGCCATGAAAGAAGAACTTGAGGCAATAGAAAGGAACAAAACTTGGAAATTGACTAAACTTCCAAATAAGAAAAAAGCCATCAGCGTCAGATGGGTTTTTAAGTTGAAACTTAAGCCAGATGGTTCAATTGGCAAGCAAAAAGCTAGACTAGTAGCTAGACGTTTTCTTCAGAAACCTAGGCTAGATTAATTTGAGGTGTTTGTGTCTGTAGTTAGGCATGAAACAATCAGATTGGTGATTACTTTAGCTGTAAATAGAAATTAGCCTTTAATGCATCTGAATGTGAAGTCTGCATTTCTGAACGGTCCATTACAGAAAGAAGTTTATGTGTCACAACCTCCTGGATTTGTGAAAAAGAATCAGGAAGGGATGGTATACAGGTTGAATAAAGCTCTGTATGGACTGAAGCAAGCGTCTAGAGCTTGGAATCTGAAAATTGATTCATTTTTCAAGAAGTAGAGATTTCAGAAATGTGAGATGGAATATGGAGTTTATGTACAACACTCTGATAACAATATGATTCTGGTGTGTCTCTATGTTGATGATATTTTGCTAACAGGTAGCTGCCCAGAAGATATAAAGAAGTTCTGATGAATGAGTTCGAGATGACAGATCTAGGAAAAATGACATATTTCCTAGGGATGGAGATTTTGTACTCGAAGAAGGGTATCATTCTACATCGGTTAAAGTACGAACTAGAACTTCTGAAGAGATTTAAGCTGCAGAATTGCAAAGTTGCCGTGACACCATCAGAAACCAATCAAAAATTGAATTCTGACTCTGATGGTGATTTTGTTGATTCTACAACCTTCAAACAGTTGGTTGGTTCTCTAAGGTATTTATGTAATACTAGACCTGACATTTGTTATGCAGTTGGATTGGTTAGTAGATTCATGAGTAATCTAAAGTGGTCTCACTTCCAAGGTGCTGTCAGAATTCTGAGATATATCAAGGGAACCCTGAGATATGGAGTGATGTTTCCTTCTAAAAGAAAGACATAATCAGAATTAGTAAGTTACTCTGATTCTGACTGGTGCATAGACAGAGTGGACAAGAGAAGTACTTCTGGATACTTGTTTAAATTTCTGGGAGGTCCCATTTCCTGGAGTTCCAAGAAATAGTTTGTCGTGGCTCTGTCAAGATGTGGAGCTTAGTATATCACAGGTGTTGTAGTTGCTTGTCAAGCTGTTTGGATTCTGAATCTCCTGCATGATCTGAAGGTTGAAATTGAGGAACCTCTGAAGCTGATGATTGATAATAAGTCTGCAATTGATCTTGCCAAGAATCCAGTGCTACGTGGAAGAAGCAAGCACATTAAGACGAAGTATCATTTTCTCAGAAGTCAAGTGCAGAAATGAGTGTTAGAAGTTCTGTACTGTAGCACTTAGAAACAGCTTGTAGATCTTCTGACAAAGGCAGTTAAAACAGATCAATTTTTTTGCTTGAGAGATAAAATTAGTGTTGTTAGCTTCTGATAGAACATCTAAATTAAGGGATGGTATTGGAAATATAATTTAGTTAATGTCTACAATTCTCAATGCTTATTCTTTAATAGGGTCTTTTGGCATTTTCTATTTTAGTATAAATATGCTACCTAGGCTATCAATATTGTAATTCATTCATTCCTCTATTTGATATACAATAGTAGTCCTCTTTGTTATCATTCATTGCTATTTCTTCTTCTCTATTTTATTACCATGCACCAACAATTTTCACATTTCACGAAAGGAGAATATTCACTCTAAACTCATTCATTTACTTCTTATTTTAATCACTTTTCAATTAATGATATATTTACTAAACCCCTACACTCTCTCGCTCATTCATTTACTCTTTACAAATTAAAATAATGTAATATATTTAGATTTTACTTTGATTACTAAATTATACCAAAAAAAAATCGCTTGCTATAACTTAACCTTTAACCGATTCATGCATATAGCCAAAATCTATGATCCTTGAATAATTGAATTCATTCTCTCATCATTAGTAGAAATATGAGTCCAATATTACTTCCAATTTTCCATTATCAACAAAATTATATTTGTGAGCTATATTATCAACAAGTTACATATTTGAGTACCAACAAAAGAGAATGACAAGAGATAAGAAATGTGTTTTTAGGGAAAGTGTCCAATCATGAATACAACCTTACGAATACATCAATTCTTCAAGATTGAAACCGTGTTTACACTTTACACAAGTTGCAACCTTAGCATTCGGTTTAAACCTATGATTATGTCGGTTAAAACTTATGATGGCTCAATATCTTCAAAAACTTATGATGGCTAATCTTTCATTCATTCATACCTCAAAGAAAAAAATACATGTGGACACCTCCTTGGAGCCCACAATTATGGACCACCCTCCAACACCCACCCTATCTACCACTAATTAACTACTCTAATTAGGTAGTGTTACCATTACTCTATTTCACCCTCCTTAGTTATTTTATTCCAACATCTCAACTTTAGTCTATATTTCATTATTACTACTTCACTTCACATGCACTACAACTATTATAGGATCTCTCATTAGTGCCACGTGTACGGTTACCATGTGGTAGTGCATAATCATTATTGCACATAACCAAACTCATAAAACAATATTTAAAAATTTTAATTATTGATTTGTCCTACTCTAAAATACAACTATACTCTATAATAATGGTAAATACTATTATTTTTTTTCACTCAAATTTTGCATTAAATTGTGCTATTAATAGAGGATTCATGAACTTGCATTGAGTCAATAAGGTTAGGCGTGTAAATCAAAAGATAGCACATGCTCAAATGAGTCAAATTCTATGAATATTGTGTATATATTGTATTAACAATATAAATAACACACACACCCTTTCAGTTCATCAAACTCCAACTCTGTTGTTACAATAATCTTAACAAAGAAATTCAACTTTATAAGTCCTACATGTTTATGTATTGAGACTTATAATAGCTTCTTAAATTTTCTTCCTCACTTTTCTCTGCATTCTCTATACATCAATTTTCATTTGTGCCTCAGATCTGATCCACAACTATGGCTGAAAAGGTAAAGTTTATGAAAAAATTTGTTACAAATATGAAATTGTGATCTTCAATTCCTTTTTAGTGATTTTTTTTGTTAAATTTGTGTCATAACCATATGATTCAATTATCTTATTAAAATTATATATTCAGGTGACATTTATGAAACTGAAAGTTGATCTTGAGTGTGAAAAATGTTACAAGAAGGTTAAGAAACTTCTCGGCAAATATCCTCGTGAGTTCATCACCACTAGAATTTTTTATTAATTATTTTATTATAATTTGAGGCACTGAAAATTGAAAAATTACATATATTTTTAATTGTTTATGAACACAATCAGAAATTCGAGACCAAAAGTACGATGAAAAAGGAAACATGGTTGCAATCATGGTGGTATGTTGTAGTCCTGAGAAGATTAGGGACAAGCTTTGTTACAAAGGTGGAGGTTCTATCAAAAGCATTGAAATAGTGGATCCGCCAAAGCCCAAGCCCGCTGAGCCCGAAAAGAAAAAAGAGGCTGAAAAGCCCAAAGCTGCTGAGCCCGAGAAGAAAAAGGAAGGCGATAAGCCCAAGCCCGCTAAAGAGGCGGAGAAGCCCAAAGCTGCTGAGCCTGAGAAAAAGAAAGATTCCGATAAGCCCAAAGAAGCGGAAAAGCCCAAGGCAAAGCCCGAAGGAGAAAAGCCCAAAGATAAGGCTGAAGGTGAGAAGCCCAAGGATAAGCCCGTGGCGGCTCCTATGCAGATGATCCCACAAATACCACCGCCGATGGCGGTGCCGGTTGGGATGTGCTATGTCCCATCATGCTACGAGGGTAGGCCTGTTGTTCCATACGGCAGTGCGTACCCTCAGCAGTATGGTGGGCCGGTGCAATATTATGATGGGTACTATGCAAGGCCCGTTTATGATAGCTATGGCGGAAGTGGGCCGTGTTATGTGGGCCGGTGTGATCAGTACCTCAGCGAAGAAAACGCAACAGGGTGCACCATTATGTGATTCTTCTTCACATCATGTTCATGAAATTGTTAATTTCTTTTTTTATTGCTAAAATTATTAAAATGCATATTTCATATAGAGGAGGGAAAATGGAAAGGTTATTTGGTGGTATAAAATCGCAATAATGTATACTATCATGTTTCGTTCGACTTTTGATATTATAATAAAATTGCAACCTCATTTGTACACTTTACTATTTGAATACATTTGTCTTTTTAAAAGATTGAACTTTCTAAGCAACATGGTCCACCGACACATTTTTAAGGATTCTTATACGAAGTGGCATTTAGGCCAAGATGAGTTGTTAGTTATTTGGCTTGCACTCTATGATTTTGGTGCCAGCTAATTGATCATATCACATATTCTTCTAGTGCTAGAGATAAAATTGAGTTTTGGTTGCCTGCTCAACAATACTGATGGGTGCTTTAGTGGTTATTGAATGAACCAATGCTGATAAGTGACATCAGTAGACAATGACAGTTTGACAACCATGAATCCATGTTTCTCTTTTCACATACCACCAGCAGTTTCGGATTTGTTTTTATTCATTACATGGATGATGGATCATCCCACACGGAATTCTAGCTTAAAAAAATTTGATAGATTAATTTATAACAAATTATTGATAACATATGAATTAATTGATTGAATTTATAGTTGTTAATTGAATTAGTTTATAAATATGAAATAATATAAAGATGTATAGGTAAATATGTAGTTAATGCTTGTAAATATATCTTTTTTTTTTGGTATTAGTTTATGTCATTTTTATTTTGTTTTGATTGTTGTATATACTTTTTATTTTTATTATAATATCTAGAAATTTTAATTTTAGTCTTTACATCATAAAATATTAAAGGGATTAAAAATAATTTTCATATGTATTTTAGTGATTAAAATATAATATAAATTATGTCGTTGTTTTAGTTTATTAAAAAAATTCTTTTATGTATAACGTTGTTTTTATTTATTAATACAATTCATAAATATTAATTCAAATTGATATATTAATGATGATTCATTCTTAACAGTATCTTTTAAATTAGATAATATATGTCATATGAGTCGAATTTATTACACTTGTAATCTATTCGAGAATTCTTTAGAGATTTAGTGAATATATTAGTCAATTGATTTTCAAATTTGATGAAATTAGTGGTTATTTCTCTTGAAAGTAAAACATGTAGGTTGATCCATTACAAGAAAGAGACAGACTGAATTGATCTTGGCCACCAAGAAAAAAATATCACCATAATCAAAACTAGATGTTTGTGTGTATCCTTTAGCTATCAAATAGACTTTGAAACGATTGATCTGACTATCTGATCCAACTTTGACTGTATAAATCTATCGACATCCCAATATAATTTTGTCTAAAGGTAAAAAGACATTATCTCAAGTGTTATTTAAATACAAAGTAACAATTTCTTCCAACATCGCCTGATGCCAATTGGAATTAACCATTGCTTCACTTGAAGACTTATAAATAGAAACAAAATTCAAAGCAGATACAAAAGAAATATAAGAAGTAGAGAGACAATCATAATTTAAAATACAAACATATTTAGAATTAGAATGATGAGATGATATACCTTTTGTAATTCTATTAGAAGGTCAAATTCAAATAATATATCTAAAGGAACACTTAGAACAGAAGATGATGTTTATGGATCAATATTATCTATTATTTCTAATAGAGTATGTTTATCGTGTATATATATATATATATATATATATATATATATATATATATATATATATATATATATATATATATATATATATATATATATATATATATATATATATATATATATATATATATATATATATATATAAATATATATATATATATATATATATATATATATATATATATATATATATATATATATATATAATATATATATATATATATATATATATATAGTATATATATATATATAATTTCTTAAAACTTATTTTATAAGACAACTATAAAGTTATATAATCAAACAACTTCTCCATTGCATTAACCAAAAATATATATATGATATTAACTAATTATTTTATTTTCAAAGCATTAATCAACTACACTACTTTATTATTAATAAAATATATAATATTAATCAAATTTTAACATTAAATTATGAAATATAATAATTAATATTTCCATTTCATTAATTAACTTTATTTTAATACTTCAATTATTTTTAATTTTGAAAATTTATTAATCAAATAATAAATTACATTAATCAATTTTATTTATTTTTTAATGTCAAATATCCATTAATCAAATTATAAACTATATCAACTAACTTAATACAAGCAGTTAACCAATTTTATTTAATTTAAATTATTTTTTATCGTTCAAATATATATTAATCAAACTATAATAATATCAGTCGAGTTTTTTATATATCATTAATCAAAGTTATTTTTCCAAAAACATATAAAAATATTGAAAAATCAAAATTATAAATATCAATATTCATGTATATTCAAATATACGATATAGGTGTAACATTTTACTGTCGAAATAGCATTTTTGAAATATCATACATGTACAGAAAAGGAAAGTAATAGTTTTTTATGAAAATGTGTCTCTGCATTAAGTATTATATGAATGATGAGGTCATATAATCATCCAAAAATAATAAATAAATAAGTGTAGCCACCACAACTAACCAAAACTCTATAATAGGTTTACCTCAATCTATAAGAAATCATTTTCAAGATTCTTTCGAACTTACGATCCTACCAAAATTTTGTCACACCACATTCTTCAGCCTACATCACATGATTTGGACATTGAATATATATATATATATATATATATATATATATATATATATATATATATATATATATATATTATAAATATATATATATATATATATATATATATATATATATATATATATATATATATATAATATATATATATATATAAATATATATATATATATATATATATATATATATTATATATATATATAAAGTTTAATAAATAAATTTAATTAGCTGGTGTTTAAGGTAAATACTTGTACTAAGCTTCATTAGCGGAAGATAATTATCTAAATTATCTCAAACTCTAAGGAAGACAGAAGTGAGAATTGTGTCGGTAGCACCGTCGTGTTGTTAACGTAAAGCATCTCAACTGGCTTGTTTTTTTATTTGGATTATTAGATGATAATTAACTAAAAATAATGAAATGCTATAGAGCAAGAAAAAAAAAATACTAATACAAGGTTGCAAGAAAATAGGTTATTGATTTGTTGTATGTCCAATTTGAAGAAATTATAAATCAAATACGTTTATGATTTTTTCCCTATTATGTTAAAAGATTACATATAATTAAGCTGTAGAAAAAAATAATCATACACAAGTTTTTTTTTTATTTAAAAAAATTCAAATATTTAATTTTTATAAGAACTTGATTAAAAGACCTAAATTGTTTGGTTCGATATTTGTTTGCATAGGAGTTAAGGTCGATCTTACAAGTTTGTGATGTTTTTCAAAATCTAATGTTTGTATTTATTGTAGTGGAACTGACCATAAAATTCGTGCAAACAATCAAAATATAAAGTGAATTTTAATCATGGTTTGATTAGTTCTACCACAATGAGTGCAAATATTGGATTTTGAAGTATTGGATGGAGTGACTGAAATAATATGTTTGAGATTAGGTTTCTTGAATCCTAAAACATTGATTAGTGCATAATAATCTTCAACAGATGCAAAGTTACCTTGCCTCTATTGTTGAAGAACCATAAAAAAATGTGTGTTCATGCTAGATAAGGGATCCATGAGCAATATTTGAGATCTGACCATTGCAAAGTTATCAGTCAAGCTAGTCAAAAGAAGACAAAATTGTGCACTTTGATCAAACTGACCACAGAATTGTACACTCATTGTTAGATTAGTTGAAATTATGTTTGAGCAATTACTATATTTGAAAACTTGTTCAATAAAGCAAAACACCCTTTTGATGTTGTACACTTCGATGTATGGGGACCCTTAACAATACAATCTTGTCATGATCATTCGTATTTTTTTTACCATTATTGATGATTTCAGCAAATATACATGGATCATTCACATGAGAAACAAAGCTGAAACTAGACAAAATGTCATAAACTTTGCTAAGATGGTTGAAATTCAACACAATTCTCATATAAAAATCATTATAAGTGACAATGGTCCTAAATTCCTTATGCCACAATTTTATGCTTCTAAAGACATTATTCACCAAACTAGTTGTGTTGAATCCCCTCAATAAATTAGGAGGGTGGAAATAAAACAACAACAACACATTCTTAACATTGTTAGAGCTCTTACATTTCAAGCCAATGTTCCTAAATCCTTTTGGTCATATGCTGTTAATCATGCGGTATAACAAGTCGTCCTATTATCTTTTATTCAACAAAGAAATTGATTTACAAGCTCTGATAATCTTTGGTACCTTAGCTTATGCATCTACATTATAATCCCCTAGAACCAAACTTGACCATAGAATAAGAAAATACATTTTCTTGAGATTCAAGCAATGTGTTAAAGGTGTAATTCTCTTAGATATTAACAATAAAGACATTTTTATTTCAAGGAATATTGTTCATTATGAACTCATTTTTCCATATCATCCAAATTGGAAATATCAAACATCTCCTAACAATGAAACTTCAATATTTGATGTTCTACCATTTGCCCTTAACAGTACAAAATCGATTAGTAACAATGGTGACACACAATCTGACATTTCACAAAATGACATCACCTATGATGAGTCAGTCCCTCAAATTATACAAACTAATGATGAAGTATCTCTTCCTATTGATCAACAAACCAATCCTAACCAAGAAACTTCACAAAGCACTATTAGAAAATGCACAAACAATAACTCTATAGTCACCATGGTTCTTCTAAACACCGTGGTGACATCTCTAAATTCAGGCGCAAATATTTTTTTAATATTTTTAATTAATAATTGTTAGGATATAATAACGGTTATTTAATTTACT